CAAAATCTGCACAGAAAGTGCTGAGTGCAGTATCAGTATAACCGACCCCATGTACTGGTAAGTGTCGAGCCTAACCACGATGAGGTAGTGATGAGGCTACTATGGGGTATTTACAATATAACCTGCATACAGTATATTATAAAGCAAAAAAGAAGTACGGGACAAAATGAAACAGTGACTTGCAGCAAAAATAAAAATGAAACTCAAATACCTTATCAGTACCCAACTAAAACCAATCCTTAAGTGAGTTATAAAACTACAGAATAAATTCACAGTAGAATAAGGATACATAAACAACAAACTGATGTGGCGCGCATCCCGATCCCACCATATAATCAGTAGCAATATGAACATTCACCCTTATTACTCCGTATAAATCCACCCTTATTCCTCCTGTTGCGGCGTGCAACCCCATCCCACCGTACAATAATAATCCACCCTTATTACTCCTCAATATATCACCTTTATTCCTCTTGTGCGCGCAACCTGATCCCACCAGGCAATCACATTTCACCCTTATTGCTCCTCAATATATCACCCTTATTCCTCCCGTTGCGGCGTGCAACCCGATCCCACCATATCAGTACCAATCACACAATAAGAACATAAACTTTACAATTTGGCTCAAAACCTCTCATAGTATTTAACCTCAACTAAAACAAACGGGAAACGGTAAAATTATGAAACTTCACTCGAATTATGTTGCTCAGCGAAACCAATCCAAAATATACTAATAAACACTGATAGCCAGCCCAAACCAATAATACGAATCCATAAAACCACATAATATCCAATACCTTTAACAACAAAAACAATATTCGACAAGTAGCGACTAAACATGGAAATATAAATAAAATAAGTAGCAGTTAAGGCAGGGAAATATATATTAAGAACGGGAAGGGAACAGTCAAAAATAGATAAGTTGGCGGCGCATAGGTACTCTTCACCTCACCTATACGCCACACACATGGATTTTCACATAGCAATTACGTCGGGGATCCCTAATCCCTCAAGTCAAAGTTAGACCAAACACTTACCTCGATCCACAGGCCATTCACTGCTCAAATACCGCTTTTCCTCTAGTTTCCACCTCCGAACCACTCATATCTAGTCATAATTAACTTAATAACATCAATTATCGCTAAAGAAATCAATTCCAATACATAATTATAAGTTTTCCAATATTTCTCCCAAAAAGTCAAAAACCGACCCCAGGCACACTTGGTCAAAACTCGAGGTTCGGACCAAAACCCATTCACCCCCGAGCCCAAATGTGTAATTATTTCCGGAATCCGATCCCAAATCGAGGTGTAAATCACCAAATTTGCAAAATCCCTAATTTTTTACCCTTAAGAACAAGATTTAGGATTAGAAATCTAATGGGTGTTGATGGAAATTGAAGAAAATGAGTTAAAGAACGCAACCCTATGATTTGGTGTTGAAATCCCTCTTTAAAAATCGCCCTAGGCTGAGTTCTAATGGAAGAGATATGAAATTTTGAACCATTCCCGTTTTTGAAGTCTGTTTTAAAACACTGGACAGGTCTTCATCACGTTCGCGGTAGATCTGACGCGATCGCAATGCACAACACTAGAAGGCCTTCGCGTTCGCGAAGAGTTGCACGCGTTCGCGATGGTCTGTCCCCCCTGACCATCGTGTTCGCGGGCCTAGGACCGCGTTCGCGTAGAACAACTCATTGAATTCCCAGCCCACCTCCAATACACTACGCGTTCGCGTAAGGCTGATCGCGTTCGCGAAGAGCTAACCCCCAATGCTCCGCGTTCGCGATCGAAGTCTCGTGTTCGCGTAGAAGAAGTGCCTCCCCAGCCCAACTTGCACTTCGCGATCACGAGAGTTGCTTCGCGATCGCGAAGCACAAAATATCAGCATACCAGAAGCAGCAAACACACCAGATTTTCTAAGTGCAAATCATCCCGTAGACTATCCAAAACTCACCGAGCGCTCGGGGATCCAAACCAAATATGCGCACAAGTCTAAAAATATTATAAGAACTTGCCCGTGCGATCAAATTACCAAAATAACACCTAAAACTACGAATTTAGCGCCAAACTGCATGAAATTTTCAAGAAAGTTTTGAAACTTCTATTTTCTCAACCAAAGGTCCGAATCACGTCAAATCAGTTCTCTTTCTCACCAAATTTCACAGATACGGTATAAATATCATAACGGACCTGTACCGAACACCGGAACCAAAATACGGACCCGGTACCAACAAGATCAAATATTAACCAAATTCTTAAAACCTTTATAATTTCAGTCTTATAATTTTTATCAAAAATTTATTTCTCGGGCTAGGGACCTTGGAATACGATTCTGGGCATACTCCTATGTCCCATATTTTACTACGGATCCATTAAGACCGTCAAAATACGGGTCTAGGTCCGTTTACCCAAAACGTTGACCGAAGTCAACAAAAATCAAGTTTTTAGGCCAAAAATTATTATTTCATCAATTTTTCATATAAAAGCTTTCAGGATACACGCCCGAATTGTGCGCGCAAATCGAGAAGAGATGAAATAAGGTTTTAAAGACCTCGGAATATGGAATCGAGTTCTAAAACATAAGCTGACCCTTTGGGTCATCACAATCTTATTGGCTCATTCTTTTGACTTACATTGCCACATCACTTGACACGTGGGATGAGCCTGGGCTTTGTGTTGGGCTAATAGCTATTTGGACCTTGGGCTAATGAAGTGGGCTTATCATTTAATTTGTAGTCCAATTAAATGGACTAGTCCAACACATATATAATGGATTTAAATAATTAGCTCAATTTATTAGACACAATATTTGTTTGGACGATCATCTTAAATATAATATAGTCCAAATTATTTTATGGATTTAATCCGATAAAATTTAATTGGTTACAGACAAATCAGCAAAATTGCCTAAAAATTTTCCCATAACAAAAGTTAGAATTTTATTTTTAATAAGGTTTAGTTTGAGTCCTTCTTGGAAAGATGTTTTTCTTTTATTTAACTTAGACTTAGATAATTAAATGATTATTTCTAAATAACAGAGAATTAAAATTCATGACTATTCCTAAATAGTAGAATATTAGTTAAACGACTATTTCTAAATTTCAGGAGAATAACCAAATGACTGTTTTGTTAAATGTGAATTCTATTTTAAAGGGATAAAAAAGGCGAACGACGCTTTGGTAAGGGACTTCATGCTTTTAATATAGTAATAGTTTTAAAGTATGCGTGTTGCGCGTGAATCCTTCTCGATGGGAACAAAATTTTAAAAAATCACATGAATAATATTCTTTGACTTCCTATATTACTTAAATAAGCATTGATTTAAAAAAAATATGTAGAAATTTATAATTTAAACCGTCTTATAAATTAAAACTGCTAATTTCAGTATATAAATTCAAGTCTATGTTTTACTTGTCAAATATTGTAATTGGGTTTGCGATTTAATATGGCCATATATTACAATATGTAAATAAAAAATTAAATTATGTTATGTATTACTATATGAATTATTATTATTATAGTAAGCATGTCATTTATTTAAAGATATTTTCTTACTAGTCCTAATGTGGTTAGGGTAGTTTAAAATAGTAACCTTTAATGTTTATAAATTTAAGAAATAAATTTATATAACTTAGATGTTAGGAGCTTCTGCATAGCTCAAATAAGAAAGGATTTAATACCAAAATTGCAATGTATTTGACTTAAATATTTGAAAAGTTATTAATTTACACTTTTATCCAATGTGAAATTATTTTTTAAAAAGTAAAAAATGCGAACGACATTTCACTAAGGGTTTTCGTGCTTCTAATATAGTATAGATGAGGATNTATATATATATATATATATATGAGTTTAATTGATTTTAACTAAATTCTTAATTATCAAAATCCTAAACATAAGGACTTAGTTCAAATAAAGAGAATAAATTTTAGTTGATCTCAAGATACTAACTATTNCTAAATATTAGGAAAAACAACATAAACAAATTATACTTAATTTTCAAAAAATTTATGCCCAAGAACTCCTTTTGCGTGTCTTCTTGACAAGTAGTGATAGTTAATGTTTAGCCTTAAAAAAAATCTAATTTTGGTACTACTAATAATTTAGTGACGGACTATATTTTTTATTATTGATATGTGCTATGGAAGAAGTAAAGGAAAAAAGGAAATAGAAATGGCAAAATAGGAAAAGAACAAACTAGGAAATTTGGTGAGCGCAGAAATCAAAGTGAGAGACACCATTAAAGCAACCCAGCGCATCATATTAAACAGTAATACCTTCTGTCCTTAGTTGTTATTTTGCAAACTATCTTCACAAATTATGAATGAGCTGGACCAATTAGAACAGAATAGAATCAATAGATATAGAGGATTGATAATCACATAGCGTATTAGTTGTTATAACTTGTCTCAGATTTTTGGTATTCAGAATAGAGTGTACTATATGTAGAAGAGCCAACTCAACTAGTTTTCTATTGAAGAGTGCAATAATTGTTGTATTCTCAAAGATTTCAACTTTTTTTCTGGAAAGTAGGTCTTAGTTTTTGATAGTGAAATGCTAAAATGGAATATAGAGGATTGACACAATTAGTTTAGAATTGAGGTGTTATTGTTGTGTTGTAAAAGTAGAAGAAAGAGGAGGTGAAGATGAAGAATAAGGGAGAGGATGTAGAGGTAGCAAAAGACTTAACAATTAGTCTTTTAAGGGTTATTTTAATGTTGATCATATTTGTAGTTGGGGTAGTAATTGGATTGGCTTCAACCTCACATATTAAATGGTACTCTACTTTGCAATCTCAGCAAATTATTGTTGCAAATAATGCATTGGCTAATACAATGAACCAAGATAGTAGTGGCAATTGTAAAAGGAGGATTGTTTAAGCATGGGAAGTTTCTTTTGGCCCAAAGTATTGATACATGGAATGTCGGACGATGAATTATTTTGGAGGGCTTCATTGGTGCCTTACAAGGAAGAGTATCTATTTAAGAGAGTGCCTAAATTGGCTTTTATGTTCTTGATTAGGGGAGATTTACCATTGTTGCAATTGTGGGAGAGGTTCTTTGACGGACAGGATGTGAACAAATACTCGATATATGTTCATTCGCTCCCAGGATATGTGCTTAGTGTTTCCAATACCTCAGTTTTCTACAAGCGCCAGATCCCAAGTCAGGTATGATTTCTGGCTGACTCAACTGTAGTTTGTTTATTGGTGTTCTTTCGTGCTTATTTTGTGTGAGGCTAAAGGTATCATATTGCACTGATCAGTGATCAGCAATGGAGTACAGTTACCTTCTTGCTGCAAGCATCAAATTTCCTGTCTGCTGGAAAACTTTTCGTTTGTGAAAAAATGAAAGATATGCTGAACTTTAGCCGTGTAAAAGGGAGCCTTGGCGTAACTGGCAAAGTTTTGCTATGTGACCAGGAGGTCACGGGTTCAAGCCGTGGAAACAGCCTCTTGCAGAAATGCAGGGTAAGGCTGCGTATAATAGACCCTTGTGGTCCGACCCTTCCTCGGACCTCGCGCATAGCGGAAGCTTAGTGCACCGGGCTGCCTTTATATGCTGAACTGTGTAATATGTTACCTCTTGTGAGGTAAATGGATTGATTTTTCCAAGGCATGAGAGCACAATATCGGAAAACTAAGTTAAGAAAAATAGTACAATCTGAAAACAAATAAAAACGAATTAGAGCTACTATAAGAGCAGATCAATTAATGTGAGAAACAAGAAAGAAAAGGAAGAGGAAAGACAGTTATCAACCAGATAAAAATCAACAAATTGATTTGACAAAATTTATGTACATTACACAATCAACAGTCTTTAGGCAAAAGAAGAAAAAGGTATTTACAAATTGCACAAAACTTAATCTTTAGCAGACCCAACCAAAGTGTAAAATTCGGAGAGGTAAAAAAAAAAGATTGTAGGAGAAGAACAAAAAGACTTGATTTCTCCTTCCCGCGCTAGAAAATGCTGCATGAACCATACACCATCAGTAGAAAGCTCTTCATGGATTCATCTTTACATGCTTAAGGTAAAAAAGGATCGTATTGCTGCTTCTTCTTATCTTTCTATCCCCACTGTAATAGATTTACGCACTCTTCTGTACGCATTGTATACACAAACGCTCCTTGTTTTGTAGAAGGTGATCGATCATGTACTAGCCATGAGGTTCAGTTTCTTGGTTTTGAAATGGATCAACCCAACATTCATCTTCCTTGCTAGCTTTAACCCACCTTTCCCAGAAAATCTTCATTTCGATAGAGGATCGATTTCTAACCTGCAGTATGTTATAAATAAACTAGCAATATGAGAAGGACAATTGTTATTGGTGAAAGGATATGTCGTAAAGGTGAATTTGAACTCACCAGGGATCTATTATCAAATTTCTCATAAAGTGCAGTTGCCTGCAAAGCACGAAAAGTGAAATCTAGAGAAAAACAACCAAAGACGGAGGACAGACACAATTAGGGAATTCAGATTTTAAGGTCTCACCGATGCTTCTGAATTGGACATATTCTTGCTTTGTGGAGAATGATCTGCCAGTTCTTTGCTCGACTACAGAAATTAGAACCAAACAGTGTGAGACAAGCCAAAAGCTAGAACTCCATTATAACCATTACCACAAATTATCAATATAGTTTGTGGTTTCTATTATGATAGTAGAACTGAAACATTTGTTTGTAACTAGTCCTCTCTCTTTCGTGTATATCATAATGCTATCATAACTAAACATTATGATAGCATGCTCTCTCACAGGTTCCAAGAACAGTGCATAAATGGCAGCATTACAAACTTTACCCATATTTAGTTCCTCTGGAGAAAATCCTTAACTTCTCAAACAAGAATGATCCAAACCCCGTCACAAAAAAGAAAAGCAGACACAACTATCAGATAATATATGGATCAATATAACTGCAAAGGACGTTGTAGTTACACGAAGTTCACTCATTGGTGATTATAGACACATCTATAACTTTAGGAACTCTTCGTATTGTACACCAATAAACACTTTCTAATATGCAAAACTGTGCAACATTGTAATCCTATTTACTGATGAAAATAAAGAGGTAATCTGCACTAATTTAGTGGATAAAGAAGTAAGCCACCAGGGTAGTAGATGAAACAACAAACAGTGTGGACCAGTTGTCAATGTCTGTTCTCGTGAAGAGAAGATCAAACAAGACGAAGAAATTACTTGCCTTATTTCCATCTGAATCACCACCACCTAGTGTAGGGACACCCAGATGAGTTATGTACTCTGCATCAATCACGCCGACTTTCTTTGTACGATCACCCTGAGAACTAAGAACTTATGTGTTACCATCATACCAATTGAAGACCCAAATGGAAGAGTTAGTCAAAAACACTAGTTTTAGGAATTTGCCTGTGCACAATAACCAAGCTTCTTATCCAGGCCCCAAGCATGGATCAAATCATTCTGTTGATAAAAGAATAATTAGTTAAAGGCAAGCACAATTTTCAGCCACAAGATTATCAGGAAATTTTAAAAGTATATTATCATTAAGCAGATTCTCGCTATAAGCTACATGTTATCAACAACTTTGTTCCCCATGTATAAGTCGACTTGATTACGTTGTTAACCAAAGCTCCTATACCTGGACCATATACCAAGCACAACGCCAGGCAGCTTTTGAGAATACAGGAGCCATCATTTCCACCCACCTGCATGACAGATTTACTTCCGGAATAAAAATAAAGCTCATTCGTACTGGTGACCGTAAAAAACATTCCAAGCCATAAGAAAAAAGAGGATTAGAGCTACTCGATTTAGTTTGAGCGGAACTTGTTAAACTGATAATAAAGAGAAGGAACAGTTTATAGTTCTTTACCCCACACAAGGAGGCGCTGTGCTGTTGTTATCACACCTTGAGGAACCTTTGAACCTATAAAACCTCCTATTTGAAAGCATCAAATTTACAATTCAGTTTTGGCATAAGGCACTAATAAAAATAAAAAATAAAAGTCAGTTTTGGCATTAGACTGTTGAAGCAATAAGTAAGATTTCAGTATCAGCTTAAGCTTTTGATGAGATGGTCATTGACTACATGGTATCAGCCAGAACCATCCCTATCCCTGTTCTTGTTTTACCCAATGTTGGGCCCCATGTTATATTGGGCATGCTCCAGTCAATTGGGCCTGGATGCATGTCTCCTTATATAATCTTGAGTAATCCTCACCTCACCACATGAGCTAGCTTTTGGGTTGAGTTAGATCCAAGATCTATTTTCTTAACAGAGGCAACGCACATTTATGCAAAATCAACTAGACAAACATGAGCCCGGGAATTTGAGTTTCCAACAATCTACTAGAAAACAGACAGATGTTCCAACTAAAACACAAGTAGATGTTGCATGAAAACAACTCGCTTATCTAAGGAAAATAGTGGTGTAAAGAAAGGAACTGTTCGAACCTGTTAACTTTAAACCAACTACATTTTCAGTGAGTTTTCAATCCCACTAGCCAAAGCAAGTAAAATAAGAAGGAAGAGAAAGCCAGGGGCAGTAGTCTTTGGTCCAGGAGCTCTAAATCATATAATATTGGATGGTTAAGCCACTCAGTAGCTCTTCCACTCATAAAAGATTAACTCTGTCCTACCAAATTGAAAATCTGTCTAACCTGTGTACTCTAGAGTTCCTTCTGCGTACAGTAATTGGATGATGAACTTCTGATTTACCAAGATCAAGTGCTGGCTGTGATATCTCCAACCCTTCTTCTCTAACAATAGATAGATACCTGGAAAGGACAATGGTCACTGAGAAGGCTATTTCAAATGGCAAACTAACAGGTCTAACTGTCTAGCAATCGCTTGTGAATTATCACTTAATACCCACTTTCTCTTGAGCATGACAAAATATTAATAATTTCTAATAAATCTTAAGCGGCTGTCTTGCTAAAGCACCCAACAGCTCCTTAACACAGATTTTAGATGTTCAAGTAATGTATTTTCATAATGTAGCTGAAAATGAGAAACTAACTTGTCTGGATGAAAGCTTTCAACTCCAAGGTCCTCATCCCACAAGAAAATGTAATCATACTCAGAAACTATGTCAGGGTGTAGAAACCTCTTCGCAAACCACCTATAACCAGAGAGTTAGATGTGTGAAAAGCTGCACAAAACTTACAGTAAACACAAAGAAGTTGTCCAGAACCGACTTAACCATTTTGTTTGGTTCATAGCAGAGACATGTATGACATGGCTACTCCATTCCAGATCGTTCCATTCATCCACCACACCATCATAGTGAAACAGCATCACAACAAAGTCATGCTCAAGAAACTGCAGCAAGTTATATAACCGATATAAGGAGCAGAACTTATGATCCTTTTTGCTCAAGCAAAACAAGGAGGCAAAGATGAATAGACATACCTTTTTAATGAGGCTGTTCACCAACTCTTTTTGCTTTATTCCAACTGCAATCGCCAATAAATTAACTGAATTTGGCGACTTCTTCTGAATGGAAATATTGCATAATAAGCAAATAAAGAAACAGAGAAAATATCAGAAAAAGTTATGCTAGTTATAGGGCTTGTGGGCAGATAAAATGGCAAAAGCTAGAACTGCTGGCCACTTCTGCTCTCACAAATGAATTTGGACAACATTGCACCAAGGGAAACATAGTGCAAGCACGACGATTACAACAACGCATAAATTCTACCTGCAGTATCCTTTCACCACTTTTCCAGATGACATTCCACATGCCTCAGTAATTCTATCTTTCTTTATTTTGTACTTTTCAAGTTATGGATGGAAAATTGACAGTTAACATCACTATTAGAAGCTTTGCAACATCCTAGATCCAGTGGTTGAGTGGCCTAAAGACAGTAATTATATACATTTTCTATATGAAATAAAACGATCATATTACTAATGTGTTCCTTCTGGACTTGGATATTCCATATTCCGTCAACTTTACAACATAAGACATAATTGTTTCATCACCCTTAGATCCTACTTCGACTATCAAAATCAAGGCCCAAGCTGTTATCAGAAAACCACGGAGAATAATAGAGCATTATTACTGGATTACATGAAAAACTTGATAAATCGTATATGGAATTGTTTACGTACATCGACATCACCCCACAGCGGGCGCATTTCCAGGTTCGAAGTTTTCGAAACAATTCCTTCAGGAAGTGCCTCACTCCCAAATGGCCTGCACTTATCCTGTGAGGAATAAATGAGTAACTTAAAAGAAGCCAGAAATCAAAAACCAAATAAAAATAACAGCAGACCTTGCATTTGGTAGATGTATGACTCGTCTCTTTTTGCTGTCTTAACCGTACCTACATAGGAACTTTTTAAGTCAATTCACAGATATGTTAGTGTAATTAAAGAACAAGACATTCCAAATTTATTTTAGTAGACTGGTCTCAACCAAATTGTATTATTTTCTCATAGACTAGGCAGACTTGTCTCAACCAAATTATTCTTTTGTTCTCATCAATTAGGTTGACTATTTAAACCCAAGTTATAATTCTCTCTTGGGCATAAAGTTTATAAGGTAAATCTTGGACATAAAATATACTGTCACTACATTTTCAGTATTGTGAAAGACCATGTATGCTTTATCAAAACAAATCGCCACAGGGGATTTACATTGCCCCAAGAGCTGTCATTCGTCGAAAAATTTACTAAATATGGTCAAGCAAAACGAAAATATTGGGTATAAATAGAAAAAATGACATTGCTTGTAAAAGAAGGATCTACTGGTTTGCTGGTATATCATCTTTTGAGAGGTCAATGGTTTGAACCCCGTTGATTTAGCCTGAGTTATAAAAAATTTAAGCAGCCTTAAAATCCAAAACATGAAAAGTAATTAAATATCAACGCCACTTATGAAAAATCCTGTGTACGCTACTGAATGGCCAAATATATGCACTACAAGCAAACCATTCCACAAGTCGACTTCAAATCAATCATCTAGTAAGGCAATGATTTAAAGAGAGAAACTAGGAAATATGCAGAGTAAACAGCAAAACTACTTAAGTTGCCTATTAAGCTTTGTAAAGATCTATTATTCAAGCAGCATGCCCAAATTTTACTAGAACCCTCAAAATGAAGGAAATAAGATATTATACATTTAGCTCTGTCTTTTTGGGACAGGCAATCGGAGCATACAAATTTCATATTACCTCCTTAGAATCTCAGAACTAACATGCATGCTACATAAAGAACTTCCGAAGCTAAAAGCACGCACATACAAGGTACTACAAGAGAATAGATACTAGCCCTTAGGCAGACATAGATACCACGGTGACGTGGAAAGTCAAGATCAGAGGAAGCAAGCAGAGACCATCTGACATCATAGAACACTGACAAGATAAAAGGAAATCCATGATAACCATGTCTTGGAAAGTCAATGACTAGAGGAAGCAAACAAAGACCATCTGAAGTTGTACAGCAACGAAAAGATAAAAGACAATCTACACAAATGTCAAGAGAGGACATTTGAATCTTCTATACTTCTTTATACAACAAGAATTACAACTTTCGATTTTTAAAAAGATAAATCAAAACTTAATCAATACCTGATACTTCTGTCTTTGAAAGGGCTTATAAATACAAACATGTTAATTAAAACCAGAAATCAGGTGCAGAATTTCCACAAATGAAAAGAAACCTACAAATTCATGTTCATTTTCTGAAAAAACAAACCTCAGATGTACCACATTGTGCATTCTGTTGTGAGTTGTTCATTCCCAATCCTAACAACACCTGCAAATACTCAAATTATTAAGCTTATAGTACCAGATCTCATGCAACTACAATATTTGCATACTTGAGACGTTATCCTACATACAATTATTGACTGTTTGGCAACACAAGAAACAAGAAAGCTCCTTCGACCACAAATCAGCGTGCCGCTTACTAAAGCATGAAATTTGTATTATGTGAATTCACCTGAACCTCAGAGAATGTTATTAGGCTATAGAAAGAAATCCAGGAATAATAAGGTGAATATATTTTGCTGACATGGATATATATCTCAGGTGAACCTAAAGATTATAGAATGACATAAAAA